AAGTTCATTACAAAAAGTTGAAATCCGTTTCCATGTCTCCCGTTCTCAGCTGTGTCGAGAATAACCATTCCGTCTCCTGTTACTGCCGGGAAGGACAGGTGCCTGGATGTCCATCACCTCGTGTCCTTTCTGCCTTCAGCCTCATCCGCCGTGGGCTGCCTTGTTTCTCGTGGGCTTGAGAGCAGCTTCCGCCTTCACGGGCTGTTCGGGCTGTTTGCATCACAGGACACGTGATGTGATCATCCTCGTGCCGTTTTCTCCTCCTTGTCCTGTCTCCTTTGTCCTGTTCCTGCTTCCTTTAGGATCAGTTTCTTTTTTTTAATTATTCTTTTAAGATTTATTTATTGTTTTTGTTGGAAAGGCAGATTTACAGAGAGGAGATATAGAAAGATCTTCCATCTGCTGGTTCACTCCCCAAATGGCCACAGTGCTTGGAACTGAGCCAATCTGAAGCCAGGATCCAGAAGCTGCTTCTGGATATCCCACGCAGGTGCAGGGTCCCAAGGCTTTGGGCCGTCCTCCACTGCTATCCCAGGCCACAGGCAGGGAGCTGGATGGAAAGTGGAGCAACTAGGACATGAGCCAGTGCCCATATGGGATTCCGATGGATGCAAGGTGAAAATTTGGGCCCTGAGCCGTCGCACTAGGCCCTAGATTGGTTTCTGTCACGCTGGCTTCAGTCCTTCACTGGATCTTCAGTGTGTTATTAAAGTGGTTCCTGTAGGACCTGCAGCATCCGTGGCTGCCCTGGCCCTGCATGCCATCTTCCTCTCACCCGATACTGTACCCTCCCCACAGAGCATCTCGAGCTGGCACGGGATCACCTTACACAGACAGTACTTACACTTGCGCGGCCCTGGGTCGTTTTACGTGCGGCCGCTGATCTGTCCTCCGCTGAATAATGAAGGAGACCCGCCACGGGTCTGCCTTCTGTGCTGGTGGACACTGGGAGGCTCTGGACCCTGCTTTTGTCCTTGCCGAGCTGGGCCCTGGAGTGTGCACACAAGGCTTCGAGCCAGGGCTGATTCACGCTGGCACTCTGGTAGCCTGCCTTCTCTGGGGGGCGGGGGGCTGCCCCCTGCTGCTGGATGGCCAGTGTTTCCCCTGACTTTGTAGCTGCTTCTGGAGCGTGAGCGCAGCGCCCTGCTCAGGCCGACGGCAGACAGCACCAACACTCGTTCACGAGCCCGCGTCTGTGCCCTTGCCTGGCGTCTCCTCTCCTTTCCCTTGCTCACCTGGTTTGTACGTGCTGGGTGTTACTGCTTGGCTGCTGTCGGGAGGTGGATCTGTGAGCTGGTTCTTCCAGCACGTAAATCCCCGCTGGCCCCTCTCACAGCAACAGGCTGATGAGTGGCACGGTGGTTTTGCCAGTTCTAGTCCTGGCAATGAGAGGAGCAGGGTAGGGAGTAATGAGTGGTGGCGGGTGAACCCCACTGCTGACTTGGGATTACAGGCTTAAGAACTGACAGTTGCACACAAAGCCTGGAACATGAGGTGGCATATGGGCTCCCGCTGAGCAGAGGCCATGACCGACTGCGTCCCCGTGCGTGACCCTGAAGGGAACACGCTGCATGGCCACAGCTATGCCCTAAGCTCTACAGTGACACAACTCCAAGACAGCAATGCCCTCAGTGAACACGTACTGCAGACGCTGGGCAGCCACGAGGCCCCTCAGGACGCCCTGCAGGTGTGAGGGGACAGTCGGGGCTGGGGAGATGGGCAGCACTGAGTCAAGGAAGAAAGACGAGGGTGGAAAGAGGACAGCATGGCACTGTCCCAGCGCTGGCCTGAGGCCGCCTCCCTGCAGCAGTCCCCTGAGCCCCCTGAAGAGACCACCTAGTATGCTCTACTCGCGGCTGCAGGTAACTGCTAATGCCGTGAGAAGGCGTGCAGGGGCCGCAGTCCACGCTGAACTGACACGGGGAGGAAGTAGATCTCCTCTGACAGCCTTGGCCCCTGCCTCGCAGCCACCCCACCATGACACCCCCAAACCCGCCTCTGCAAAGCCAGAACTTGTTCCGAGTGGTCACTCACTCCAGCCCCCCTGGGGGAAGCCTGGAGCCACCTGAGGGTGCAGGGGGCAGGACACCAGGGCAAGACCGAGCTGACCTCCCGCCAGCCAACAGCGTGCATCTCCGTCTCCCAGCTGTCCCTGTGGAGAGACTCGGACCCGGACGAGGTGGGCACCGTGGCCAGCCTGCAGGGCCCACGAACGGGGACGGTGACTTCCCTGGGAAAAGCCGGAGTCTGTCCTAGAGCAGACAGGTTCCACGTGGTCGCGACGTGGATGAGGAGCCTGGAGCAGCTGTTCTTCCCTCCACCCCTCCTGTGTTTTTCTAGTTTATACAGTAACATACTTTCATTTCACTTGGAAATGGCAGATTTAACGCTGCATTAAGCAGAAAACAGTAACAAACAACAAAAACTTCAGTTTCCCAGGAGTATAAGCAAAAGCTGTACACAGTAATCAAGTCCAAGTGTCATTCTCATACCTGTACCCTGAGGTTATCACGGATTGGGGCGAACATGAGATCTGACTGTTGAAATCTGGATTATCACTTAGCATAATGACTGTCAATTGCATCCATTTTGCTGAAAAGATAAGACTGCATTGCTTTTGCGGCTGAGTCATGTTCCACAGTATATAGTCTATAACTGTGTGTGTGTGTGTGTGTGTGTAGTGTAGCTGTAACTGCATTATCCCACACCCACTGATGGGTATCTGGGTAGTTCTACATCTTAGCTCTTGTGAATTGAGCTGCTGTAAACAGGGCTCTCCTAGGCTGATCTGATTGTGTAAATTCCCGGAAGTGGGATGGCTGTGTCACATGGTGGATCTGTTCCCACATCTCTGAAGAGTCTCCGGGTTTCCTCCGTTTGCATTCGGTTCCATCCGCAGTAGCAACGGGTGAGGGTGCCCTTTCCGCCCGTCCCAGCATGCGTGTATGTGTGTATAGTTTTGGGTGATAGCCACTAGTGCTAACTGGGGTTAGAACGTGATGAATCTTAATTGTGGTTTTGTATTTCCCTGGTTTGGCTAGTGAACCTGAGCATTTTTTCATGTCTGTTGGCCAACCTGCGCAGGTACTTTGCCCATTTCTAAACTAGATTGTTGCTGCTGTTTTGAGCTCTCCGTGGGTCCTGCACACGAATCCTCTGTTAGCTGTGTAGTTGGCAGGTACTTTCTCCGGTACTGGTGCTTGCCTCTCTGCCTTTTGCAGTTTCCTCTGAGATGCAGACGCCTCTTAGCTCGATGTAATCCCATTTGTTTATATTTGTTTTGATCACCAAGAAGTCTTTGCCCATGTCCACGTCCTGCAGTGTCCCAGTATTTTTCTACAGTGAAGTAATGGCATCAGGCCATGGGTGTAGACCTGTATCCATTTAAAGTTGATCTCTGTGTAAGGCTCCAGGTGGGGTCTTGTTTTATACTTGGGCACACACGGATCTAGTTTCCCAGAACCACAGACTGTCTTATTTAGTCTTGATTGATTTTGATTCACTTGTCAACAATGAGTTGGCTGTGCATGTGTGGGTTCATTGCTGGGATTAGGTCTGTTTTTGTGCCAGTTCAGTTGTTTGGAATACAACTGCCCTGTAGTGCATCTTAAAGTCTGGTATTATGATGATTCCAGAATTGTTGTTGTTGTTTGATTGCTTTCACTATTAGAAATCTGTGTATTTTCATATGCATTGTTTTTCTAGATCTGAGAAGAATGTAGCAGGGATTTTGTTTGGGATTGCATTGAATCTGTAAATCACTTAGGGGAGCATGGACATGTTGGTGACACTGATTCTGCCAGTCCGTTATCTTGGCAGCTTGCTGTTTGGGGTCTTCTGTTTCTTTACCATTTTGTAATTTTCATTATAGAACTCACATCCTTGGCTATATTTATTCCATGTCACACAGGACGCTGTCAGCCGTGTGGGTCTGTCCCCTGCACAGTGTGCCTGCGTGTCACACAGGACGCTGTCAGCCGTGTGGGTCTGGCCCCCTCCCCCATGAGGTCCAGGTGCTCACAGTCCTGCCAGCCCCCCAGTCCTTTCCTTTGCTCCCAGGTCACCTTGGGGCCACTAGAGCAGCCACAGAAAGTCTGAACACAAGAAAGCTACGCGTGAGCTTTCCAATTTTCTTTTGTACCTCCTGCTCTCTGAGTTCCCACTCTCCTCCAGGCTGTGAGGGGCAGGAAGCAGCAGCGGCTGGCCTCATGGCGCAGTGGGTTGAGCCCCTGCCTACAATGCTGGCATCCCAGATGGGCAGCAGTTCAAGTCCTGACTGCTCCTGGCTTGGTCCTGACTCAGCCCTGGCATTGTGGGTGTTTGAGGAGTGAACCAGCAGATGGCAGATCTCTCATTCTGTCTCCCCTCTCCTCTTTGTGGCTCTTCTCAGTCTTTACAGAGAGATAGAAAGGAAGGAATGTGGACAAGAAAGCAGAGGTGAGGGAAGGCAGGAGGCAGAAGCCGCAACATCCCGTTGGTTGGGGAACTGGGGTCCCCAAGTGAAGGGTGGGGATGGCCTGTGACTGCTACCCCCAGGGCTTGCACCCAGAGCAGCTTTGTCCAGGGCCAGGACTCCGTTGCTGTGTGGCGCACAGGGCTGGGATCTGGCTGCAGCTGTGGATCCAGAACCTTCTCACTGGATGCTGCGAGGAGTAACCAGGGCTGATTGTGCCCCTTCTGCTTTGTGGGGCTCCCAGCGTGGTAGCAGCTTGACTGGAGGGGGAGGGCAGACTCCAGGCAGTGGGGCTGTGGCCAGGCTGCAGGTGGTGTTGGGGGCACTCACGGCGGACAAGAGCAGGGGAACCTGTGACAGGAGCTAGAGGGAGAGAGGGCATGAGGGGCAGGGCAGCTGCAGCTCTGGGCACGGCTGCCCCAAGCTGGGAGGGAGGCCAACACATTGGCGAGGCACCAGGGAGCAAGGTGCCCTGGGCAGGGAGGACCAGGCGTTTCTCCCATTACTGAACCCAGATAAAGGAGTGGCTTCCTCTGCTGTTTTGCAGGTACCACGACCAGCAGGATGTCACGAGCAATTTCCTGGGAGCCATGTGGCTCATCTCCATCACGTTCTTGTCCATTGGCTATGGTGACATGGTGCCCAACACATACTGCGGGAAGGGCGTGTGTCTGCTCACTGGAATCATGGTGAGTGTGCTGAGCCGGGGTCCCCGTGGGCCCAGCTTTCTCAGCAGCACCCAGTCCCCAGCAGCACCCAGCCAGCCCAGTGGGCAGGGGGCAGATCATCCAGCCTTGCTCTCTGCTGTCACCTAGTGGTAGCACAGCTGCAGCCCAGTTTCCAGGGTCCCTCCCAGCCAACTTCCTCATGGTGAACAGGGGCCGTGGGAGGTTTCTCAAAGCGTGTGCCAGGGCTGAAGGACTCTGGGGCCAGGGGGTCGCTGGAGTCTTTTTCATTCTTGGAGGAAATGTCACAGGCCCCTGGCTGCGGCTGTAGCAGAAGCAGCCAGCCACAGGCTTGCTTGGCCGTGCCTTGGGGCGCCGCAGGCAGACATTTAATTCACAGTGAACTGTGGCAGCGAGCACTTGTGCTGAGATCTGGGCTTGGGAGCAGGTCCCAACGGAGAGCAGCCAGGGAGGCTTGGGGAGCAAGCAGGTCCTGCAGGGTGGTCCCAGGGCTTGGCGGGGACCCAGGGCACTGCAGCAGCATCTTGGGTCTGCAGTGTCCCTGTTGGGAGGAACACGGGCCAGGCCTTGGGACACCTCTGCCATGGTCTGCAGCCAGCCCCACCTGCACAGGGAGGCCAGGGCAGCCTTGCCCCCTCTGTGTGCAGGCCACAATGTGGACGGCCTGCAGTGGCTCACCACTGCCCTCGCTGGCCCCCAGACGACCGTGGCCGAATACTTGGGTGGGTGCGTTGCTGGTTGCTGTGTGCGGTTTCCAAGGCTGTGGTTCCCCCTCTGGCCACGGCTTATGATCTGCTGACAACAGCCCTGTTCTAATGCATCAGGGCGGACAGCACATGCTCAGGCACCGTCCCAGGAGGTCGCCCAGGGGCCACTGCCAGCTGCAAGGACTGAGCGTCCTTGCCGGCCCAGATGGCAGCACTGACCTGGGAGGGGTAACAGTGCCGGCTGAGCTCGCTGTCAGGTGAGGAGGCGCAGTTGTAGAATGGATCTCAGTGGCTTAATGAACGTCACTAGTTCACTGGGGCCGGACAGAGCTTCATGGGCGACAGGGCTCTGGCTTCTTCCTGTTACACGTGGGGTGCCCACAGATGCGTCGGGTCACTTCCCTGCCTGTTGTCTACGCACAGCTTTCGGTTAGTTGGAGATGCCTGGGGGAGTAAACATGCATGGATGTTTCTAGAAGATCCCACACATGCTGCAGGGCATGGGGGTAAGGCCGCCGCCCCCTCCGCAGATCAGCGTTGAGGGGTTCACGTGAGTGGGGGCCCTGTTGGGCGTGCAGCTGAGCCCTCCGCCCTAGTCGTGCCTGGGTTTATCAGGTGTAGTTCCTTCCCTGGGTCCAAAGTCAGCAACCAGGCGGTGCTGTTCTTCCCTCCCTCGTCTCTTGCAGAAGGAGAAGCACCCCACCGTCTGTGTGGGCATAAAACCCGAGGTCCTGAGGCTGGGGGGCCCCTGTCCCCACCCTTGGGGCAGACTTGCTCAGACCCGGCATGCTCCTGAAGGTCGGCCACAGGTCCTCATCCCCCACGATGATCCCGGGGCTCGGGGAGAGGACCTGTGGCCGGAGGCTGGCTGGCAGTCCAGGAGCCTAAAACAAGAGAAGTTTGTTTCATTTGTTTCCCTGAGATGGAAGTGCTCCCTTACAGCAACTCCAGGAGCTTTGGGCAGTTTGGGTGCAGTGTTGGCACTGCGGGTTATGGGAGCAGACCTGACTATTCCAGCTGTTCTCCTTTGAACTTGTGCACCTTGTGTCCGAGTTGCTCGGCAGGAGTGTCAAGCCCCCCACCAGTGCCTCGCAGCCTGCACGCTTGTTGGTTACGGGTTCTTGCTCCAGCATGTGTCTCCTGGAGGAAGTCCCCGGGAGGGCTGCCCATTCCCGTCCTGTGGACGGAGCTCTGGGCCACCATGACCGAGTCCCCTAGGGCTTGGGGCCAAGGTCAGAGTCTGCAGCAGCCAGGGAGGCTCTGCCAGAGCCCACAGGGACAGGCTGTCCATGGGCATGCCGTCAAGCGCATCGCGGTTCTGGGCTGTTGAGTGCCTTGGCCCCGGGCAGAGGAGCGGGGGTCCTGTTCACACGTGTGTTCGTCTGGAGAGCAGGCTCGTGTGCTGGGAGAGCCATCCCAAGGCCGCTTGCTCACTGGAGGTAAAAAGTCTGAGGTTTTTCCTAATCAACTGTAGTTTCATAATTTTCATTGCACCCTAATTACTTATTGTAATCAGTCAGCAGTCATTGAAATTTGAGATTTTGAAAACTTAAAAAAAATCGACCAGACGGTTATTTCAGACTTATATTCAAAATATTGAAGTATTCTTTTGCATCAGCCTTGGTGCGTATAACGGAATCAAAACCAGCAAATACACGGAGTCGTTGGAGGGTGTGAGCCTCCACTGGCTGCCATGCCTGCCTTATGCAGCGAGCCTCCAGAGTGCCCGCAGGGCCACCGTCACAGGGCCTGTGGGGAGGAAGGTGGAGCCTGCTGGTGCAGCCTCCGGGCCCCGAGCTGTCCTGGGAACCGAGGGAACGAGAGCTCCTTGCCCGTGGCAGTGTCCAGGGTTCCCGGGTACTGTCCACTCAGCTGCAGCAGCCGGGACAGTGCTCGCTCTCCACTGTGTTGGCACACCTGGGCATCTTGGCGAATCAGGCAGGATTTCCCTAAGAACGGAAGCAGGAACAAGTAGTCGGATGCACCGTGACTGTGTCAAAGGGAGATGACTCATCTCACTGCAGGGCCCGGTGTCTCAGGTGGTCCCCTGTGTAAGTCCCAACTCTGCACTTGTCAGGGGACTGGGGAGGCAAGGCAGGCCTCACTTAGGCTCACCGAGCCACTGTGCGAGGCAGGATGGTCCTGGGACCGAGTGGACGGTGATGTCCCTCCATTCCTCAGCCCTCCCCCACCGTGAGCATGGACGGGGGTGGGATGGGGGAGAAGGAATGGGCCTTGGACCTGGAAAGCTTTGGGAGCCCCCTTCATGTAAGCAGATTTGGAGAGCTTGAAAATGCAGGGGATTTAAAAACAAATATGAAGAACTGGGGGGAGCACAAGCTTATGGCGTCTCTGAAGTGCAATTTAAGGATGGAAGGACAGGACATGCATTTCTGAGGTATGCCATGGGTGCAGCGGGTGGTGGAGGGAGTGGGCAGGTCATGGCTGCGTGCCTACCTCATTGGCACTGCGGCAGACGCGGGCTTTGAGTGTGCCAGGGTACATGCAGTAAGCCAGGTCCTGCGCCAGCTACAGCAGGCCCAGGGACCCCCGCGTGCAGCCGACGGGCCAGGGCTCCTGGGCCAGTGATTTTCCACTCCGGCAAAGATTTTACTTCCCTTCCAGAAGAAGCTCGGCCATGGCCACCTGCCAGGAAAGAGCGGTGTTCAGCCTTTGTGCCAGCTACCTCCTCCAGGCCTCAGCAACGCAGGGCACTGCTGCAGCCACGTGCCGGGTCAGGCTGCCACTGGCCCAGGAGCCGTCCACCCCGAGGGGGTCTGCTGAACTGCTAAGCCGGGGCACAGGAATTCCCAGTGGTCACTCTCCTCCCCTGGTACCCACCCATTGTGTACTCTGCGTCACTTGGTCCTGGCAGTGAGTGACCTGACCCTTGCCGGGACTGAGCATCCTATCCAGGCTGTGGGCGCTGGCTCAGCACCACCATTCCTAGGGGTCTAGTTGACCACCAGTTACCGATGATGTGGGCCAAGGCCAGTTGGTTTTTCGGAAGTAACTTGTCCGATTCCTCACCAGCTAAGAGCCGTGGGGGGTGACTTCCTGGTCTTGAAGCCCAGTGCCCACGGCCTGGGTGAGGAGGCCTGACAAGACATCAAAGCTATGGAAGTAGCTACAGGCATGGACACACAGGCATGCGGTCCTGAGGTACTGGCTAGGAGCTGCCGCAGGCCAGATCATCTCTGTTGTCAGGAGATGAGACCAGGGGAAGGCTTGCAGCTCTGTGGGGTGTGCCCTTGGAGAAGCCATGGGGGGCCGGGCTAGGCTGCAGGAAGGAGGCAGGAGGCCTGTGTCCTGACCCCCTGGTCTCCGCAGCTGGGACTCACTGAGGACTCTGCTGCTACCACCGGCCCCGTGTGTGCTCCCTGCTCGCCCACCAAGAAGCCCGTCCATGCTGGGTAGGCCCTGTTGACAGAAGTGGGCACAGGAAGCCGGGCTACGGGAGCATAGCATGGTCCTGGACTGAACAAGGGCTCGCCAGTGCCCTTGCCGGGCCACAGACCAGTGCCAGGGGAGACAGGGGCTGCTCTCCCAGGGAGACCAGGCCTCCGCACTGACGCCTGCACTCACCATTCGTTCCTAGGAGGGTTCAAGCCCTGTGGCTGTCCAGTCCAAGGCTCCAACAAGGGCAGGGCTCCGCTCGTCCCATTTCCCTTGGGAAACTCGCGCTGTCCCAGGTGGCCAAGGCCCAAGCTGCTGACTGGGCTCTCTCCTCTCGCCTGGTTGCAGGGTGCTGGCTGCACAGCCCTGGTGGTGGCCGTGGTGGCCCGGAAGCTGGAACTCACCAAAGCTGAGAAGCATGTGCACAACTTCATGATGGACACGCAGTTGACCAAGCGGGTGAGCAGGTGCAGGGTGTGCCCTTGCTAGGGAGTCGGGCGCTCATTTCACCAGGGATGCCACGGGTGAGGTGGAGGCACACTCAGAATCAGTTTCAGTTCTTCATGTCTCTGAAAGAGATTCTTTCAAGGTTAAGGTCAGTTAGAGAATAACTGGGTTACCTTGGTACTTGCTGAGTAGTAAAACAGACACTGTTAATGGAAGCCAATGGGCCTGCTCACCTGTTGGGGGCAGGGACGTGACTGTTGGCACGGGGGGGTGGTGGTAGGCAAAGGTTCAAGGACCAGTCAGACACCAGACAGACAGGCCCCATCTGCAGCAAAGGGCTCCCCACATGGGCTCGGGGACACACACGTCAGCAGAACATAGCGTTCATGAGGCTGAAGTGTCAGCCCCTCTGTCAGTCACTGGAGACCCCAAAAGATGAAATGGAGCAGTAAGTAAGGCTTACTCCCTGGTGGGCACCTTGCCATGCAGCCACTATCCAGTATGGCACCCAGGTGGAGTGTTCCCCAAGTCACCCAGTGTGTCCACTGCGTTCCCTGGATGAGAGTCAGTGGACAGGGTTCCAGAGTGATCCGAGGGGACACAGGTGGCAGTGAAGAGAAGGGTACAGACCCCCGCCCGCCAGGCCAACCCCTTCCCTGTCCCACACTGCCATGAGATACCTGCATGCTCTGTGTGCCAGCACAGCCATCCTGGGCAGGTGGCACCCACAGGACTGTCCCCACTGCCCCCTCCAAGTGAGTGAGGGGGATGGGAGGCGCTGCTGGTTGGTTTTTCTTCCCAACTACCTAGCATGGGATGAATGTGGACGTAGGACCCTGCTTCCAAACACGCATGCCAGGGGAGATAAAGATAGGCCTTACTTTTTTTGAACTGGGGGCTCCACTGAGCACCCCGAGAAGTCTGCTGTGAAGCAGTCCTACCGGAAAGAAACCAGCCTTTTTGTCAAAAGCGGGTTCTAGTGTTAGCACGTGTTCCTGTGCAAACTCAGCATGAGGAAGCATCACTCACTGAGCCCGAGTGGAAAGGCTGCCACGCTGGGGCTCCTCGGGACGGGAGGGCTGCAGGCAGAATCCTGGCATCCCCGTGGAGGAGGCCGTGCTGCTCCAGGGGGCCTTGGTTCTGCCGCTGGGGCAAGGTCGGGCTCGGCCCTGCCTCAGGGGCTGCTGTGCCCGCTTCTCCACAGGTGAAGAATGCGGCCGCCAACGTACTCAGGGAAACGTGGCTCATCTACAAAAACACCAAGCTAGTCAAGAAGATCGACCACGCCAGAGTGCGAAAACACCAGCGCAAGTTCCTGCAGGCCATTCACCAGTAAGTACCCGGCGCTCCACCGCGGCCTGCGTGAGCCCGCCCCAGCCCAGCTCCGACAAGGGGTCTGTTCCCACTGCAGACCATTTCTTAGGAGAATCGTCACTTCCCGAGCGCCTTCTCAGGTTCCCGCTCCAGAATGAGCGACACAGGAACCTGTCGCACTTGCTGTGCACACGGGCCTGCAGGAGCTCAGCGTCACCGATGCGGGGCAGGCCTTCCCGAGCCACCACACGGTGCATCCCCTGGGATGGTGAACGGGTTCTAGGCAGCGTGTCGCCACCACTGGCTCACACCCCTGTGGCAGGCCCGTAGGTCGGTACTGCAGCTGACCTCGGAGCCTGGCAGCCCAGACACCCTGAGACTACAGCTCTCAGGCCTCACTCCCAGGCAGCTGCCCTGTGGAAACTGCCATCCTCCTGAGGGCCAAGGCCCAGGCGCAGGGTAGCTGGCCCCAGCGGCACCTCCCAGCTGTGCTGTCCCCTGCTGAGAAAGGAAGGGCGGGGCCCGGAGTCAGGGACTCCGCACCTGAGTGTCAGCAACACTCGCCGTGAAGTGAGGAGAGTCCAGGATGGAGGGTCCACAGCCCCTCGCCCGGGGGTGTCCCTTTATATCAGAGTGAGCCATGGTGAAAGCAGCTGTGGATACTTGCAGCCACGGGCAGGGGACACCGAGCCCCCAGGCCCCCGGGGGTGTGGGAGACGCGCTATTCTCCAGCCATGTACGATGGTGAGTACCTGTCTGCCGGCCGATGATGGGACAGATGGCAGAGCATCCGGGGAGCGCTGAGCCAGGCACTCCCTAAGCGGATGGGCAGCACCTAGGAGGGCGCTGCAGAGGGGGTCCTGTGCCCCATGCCGTCAGATGTCCTCCCTGCAGTGGGCATCCTGTGCCCTGCGGTCGGACGTCCTCCCTGCAGTGGGTCCTTCAGAAGTGTAATGGACATGCAGCTTGCATGTCAGGTGTTCCTGGGCTGAAGGAGTTTACTTACACGGCTAAGAATGCAGCTGGTGCCTGTGCCCTCCCGTGGGCAGCGTCTGGGGTGCCACACAGGGTTCCCAGGGGCGTGCCTCTCCACTTCTGTTCAGGCCCCACACACCTGGCCCCAGCCGCGGGCAGTGTTCCTGGGACAGGGCGCCCAGGCCTCCTGCACTGCACCCCCCCTCTCCAAGTCTGCAAGCCTCCGACACAGCTGTTGCCCTCTCCTGGCCTGTGCCCTCAGTATCTGCCTTGCTGGACTGTCCACTTTCTGCCAGGACACGTTTCTTTCTCTGCCTACCTGTTTTCTGGTTGCAGCTTTGATTTTAAAGCTGATTATTCTTCTAGCTCCACCATGGTCCACTCAGCCAACCTGCGCTTGTACCAGAGACCCAGGGCTGCAGGCGCTGAGTCCCATCACGCTCACAATGGGCCAGGGCGTCGCCTGGTGTCCACCGCAGTGACAGGTGGCCCGAAGCCACGCTGGCTGCTCGCTGCTGGTTCCTTCTGGGGCGTGGGGGGAGCTGAACCTCGGGTGGGGGCAGGGCTCCTCTGCTGTCATCTCGGGACCCCAGCAACAGCTCCTAGCTGACCAGTTGAGCCCCGGTGCGCCGCTCAATGCCACCCTGTATTACTCTTTGCCAGAATATTTCATAGTTTCTTTTCTTTTGTCTTTTTTTTTTCTACAAAATGAAACTAGAGCTCGGAAGTAAGTTGTGTGAGCTGCTCCTTGCTGTGTCTGCAGAGTCCCACGGCTGCATGCACCCAGCCGACCCTTGATTCGTGACTTTTGGTAGTTGGTTGCTGCTATGGAAACGTGACCCGAAATCATGACACTTCCCTGTGATAAGTGAAGTTCACCTGGAAGAAGCAAACGTGGTTCTTATTCTTCTGTTGGGGAACAGCAGGTGGCGGCTGCAGCTTTAGGGGGGCGCGTCCTCCAGCAGGGTACCTGGCTGCAGGCTGGCCAGGTTAGTGAGGGCAGGCAGCACACCAGGCACCTGCGGACCTGAGCAGCTAGTCTGGAGGCCCCAGGCAGTCGCTCTGAACCACGTGTTCAAGCCTTCCGAAGGGTCTGTTTGAGTCCCTGTCACTAGGAAGTAAGAAAATGTCGTGCTCTCCCCAGGGTGAGGGACAGCTGGGCGCTGGAGTGCACCAGGGAGCCACAGGGCTGGCAGGAGACCCGTGGCAGGCGCGGCCCGCACCTGGGAGTGAACAAAAAGGAGCAGGCTCTCTCTTCACACCTTAGCACCATCTGAGACACCCACCCTCCACCCCAGGGCTGGCCGACAGAACAGGGACAGTGCCCCAGTCCACACTGCTGTCTCCCAAGGTCAGGTGAGCGCCCGTGTGGCTGAGGCCACAACACACGGGGAAGGGAAAGGCCCACAGGCGGTTAGGGACTCCTGCCAGTTTGCTAAAAGGCACGTGGCAAGCACTGTTATTTGCAAGTACCCAGAGAAAGCTTTCTCAACATGGCAGTGGATTTAAACACACGTTTGTGCACAGTCCAGCTCTGTCGAGCTCATGTCATCCCGAGCGCTCCTATATTCAGAGCCACAGAGACCAGGCCCAACCTGTGACTGCGTCCAAGTCAGTGGCCGCCCTTAGGGGGAGAGTGGACCTGGGGCATATTGCAGAGCCCACCTCACACGTGTGAGAGCATCTCCCTGGCAGTAACACCTGCCCTGCGAGTTGGCATTCCTTCTCTGCAGCCACCTCTACTTTAAGGTTGGAGAAGTGCTCCCCGAGGCATTCAGCCCTCTGCCCTGTAAAATGACCCTTGAGTGCAGTACGGTCGGAGCGCATGCTCCCTTCCTTGCCCAGCAGCTCGGAGGGCAAGGCTGGGCATCGCTGGCACAGAGCCCCTCACCTTGAGCCTTAGTTGCTCAGTGCACAGAGAGCCAGGAGCTGACAGTGACCCCACACACCTGTTAAGTTCACCAGTCTGTTGCCTTTGATCCCTAGTAAAACTGAAGGAACTCCTCCCAGGGTGTGCTCCAGCCTAGCTCCCTTCCAGTCCAGGAGTGAAAGATGCAAAGTGCAGAAAGCCACAATGAAGAATAAGAAAACTGTGTTCAGTGGTCTCGCTGCCGGCTGAGTCAAAGTGCTGTTTTTGCTAACAAGAATCTCACTTATCACTGTATTCTCATCAGGTTGAATTTCCTAACCCAACCCATCTCAGACTACACAGGCTTCACACCTGTCTCTAGTCGCGTAGGCATAGGAAGGCGGCCATGGCTCCACACTGACCAAGCCCCAGCTGCTTCGCACATGGCTTCCTATGTCTATCGGCCACGAGCCGAGAGCTTGCGGGAACGCTGTGGCTTCCCCTCATAGGGGAAAAGCTCTGTGACCTCCGAGTCCCACTTCCCCGGGCACCGGTGGTCCCGTGGACGTGTCGCCTCTGCACTGTCCCTTCCTTCTTGCCGTGTTGTTGGGGAAGCATGCTTCTCATCGTAGCAGACATATAACTGGTGTGGGCTCTGCCCCGGGTGCCCAGGCATTATCCATGCAGTTACTGGCTCTTGTCGGTCTGTGCATGCTGTTTGCAAGGCGTGAGACATGGCGTGGCGGGGAGGAGCCTTCCTCACTGCGGCTTCTGCCTCTTTAGGTTAAGGAGTGTGAAAATGGAGCAGAGGAAGCTGAACGACCAAGCCAACACCCTGGTGGACCTGGCAAAGGTGAGCCCCCGATCAAGTGGACAGGTCATACTATAACAGCAGGACAGCGAGAGCTCAGCCCCAGTTTCCCAAAACTCAAGGCGCATCATGGGAACATGAAGCAGTCCCAGGAGAATGCCCTCTCGGCACTGCAGGAGCTGGGCCCCGGGCTGGGCGGGGGTCAGGCCCCACCGGCAGCAGCATAACCTCCTCTGCCTCCACGCAGACTCACACAGGGAACCCGGAAGGACTTCCTGGAGTGAGGTGTCTCGCACACCGTGCATTCCCACGTTCTCCATGTCACCGTCTAATAATCCTGCCCCGCCTTGTAGAAAGGCTGTAACACCCAGCTGCTTCTCCCACCGTTCTGAGATTTGTAAAATCCACTCTGAAAACTTGTGTGCAGAAATCCCAGCACTGCCTTTGCCGTGCCAGTTCCACGGGGGCACCAGAAGGCCCCGACCTAAGAGAGCCAGGCTGGGGTGTGCCAGCATGGAGCACTCCTTGTGCCATCTGTGGAAAGCACGCACTGGGGCTGGTCCCACTCACCTTTGCATGCGAACTGTCCCAGGTTGTGTGGCAGCGACACCTGCCTCATGATTCTGGGCAGACTTCCAGAGGGTTTGCAGGTGGGGCAGGCCTGGACACCCTCCTCGTTCAGAGAAGAGATGGGATGTGTTCCCAAAGCAGCCACACAGGGCACCCACCTGCATGACGCGGACGAGCAGGTTCACCTCCAGGTGCCCGCAGGGCCTGCCGCAGCTGCTCCCATCCCTCCTCAGCGCCACCCCAACTTTGACCTTGGGGCTTGTGTTTTCAGAACAGACCTCTGAGCAGGTGACACAGGGGCCACCTTCCCTCGGGGATCACCTGTGGGACACCCAAAGAGGAAGGGAAGGGGGATGAGGGGCAGCTCAGACTAGGCAGTCTGGGATGGACGCAGGCCGCTGGCCCCTTGGAGGTGCTATGTGAGCACACCCGATGGCCCCCCGAGCCCCTCGGTGGGTGGCGCTGGGCAAGCTCACCCCATGGCCCGGGGCATGGTCAGCAGAGCCCCACAGCTCGTGGCCAGCAGTGCTGGGAGGAGAGCCTGCGCATCCTCCCTCAGAGGCCCGGCCAGCCCAGGCCGGCTGCGGGGCCTTCCTGGTCGCGGGCGGTCGCTTCACCGGGCCCGCCTCCGCCCGCAGACCCAGAACATCATGTACGACGTGCTGTCCGACCTGAACGAGCGGAGCGAGGACTTCGAGAAGCGCATCGTGACGCTGGAGACCAAGCTGGAGACTCTGACCAGCAGCATCCAGGCCCTGCCGGGGCTGCTCAGCCAGACCCTGCGGCAGCAGCAGCGGGACTTCCTGGAGGCGCAGCTCGACGCCCGCGACAAGCAGGCGCCCTACGAGGCGGCGCGGTCCCGGTCCTCCTCGCGGCGGCGGCGGTCCTCCTCCACGGCACCGCCCACCTCCTCCGAGAGCAGCTAGAAGAGAGTCGGTTACCCACAACTAAGACTTTTTGCCATCATATGGTCAATATTTTAGCTTTTATTGTAAAGCCCTACGGTTCTAATCAGCGTTATCCTGGTTCTATGTCAGAATCCGGGGAAGCTGAACACGAAGTTTTAGGCCAAATGAGTGAGGCACAGGAATGCACTACTACTGCTATCGATTGTTCCTCCTGTAATTTCACTACCTTTTTATTCATGCACTTCAGACTTTACTACTACATTATATGATATATAATTAAAAAATTAATTTCTGCACTCGCTCGTTTGGTCACTTGGCATTCTCACACTGCTGAGACGCGCGACACCCCGTTCTCTCTCCGTGTGTACTTTGGTGACTCTGACTGGCAAAGACCTGGCGGGTTCAAGCCACAGAGCCCGGAGTCCCGCACCCACTAGCGGGTGCCCTCGTGGGGCGCTGGCCTGGAGCCTGCGGGGAGCGCTGCTCTGCAGGGGCCATTACCGCCGCCTAAGGCGAGGCCTGGAGTGACGCTCCCGCAGCAGCTCACTTGCATTGGCCTGATCTAAACGTCAGTCCATCTTCAGAAACATCTGTCCAGGAGGCGGATACACCTGCCTTCCACAGCACCGGGCGTGCCACACTGCACGCTGCTGGCGTAGCGAGAATTTCCTTTCGTTGCTTTTGAGAGACAGGAAGGAGGTGAGCTCCTGCCTGGTTCACTGCCCGGGTGCCCACAGCAGCCACGGACGGGGCTCGAGACCAGGAGCAGGCCCTGCGTCCACGCCAGCCCTTAACTGAGCCCGAGCTAGAGCTGAGCACTGCACGCGGGCGGCCCAAGCGCTGTCAACGCCACCCCACGTGATCGGGTTTTTTTTCCCTTTAGCAAGAAGTAGAGTGACGCGTTTGGTCCACCTTGCCTGATTCAGTGACGAAGTCGGCCTTACACCCACCCTCCACCCATCACTGACATTTCCTCTGCAGGTCCACGAGGCGCGTGCACAGCTTGTCACTTGCCACCAACCCCAAGTGGCTGGCACTGAAGCCCACTCGCACATGTCCTGGGTCTGCCCCCAGGGCGCGCAGACCACTGCCGTGGTGCCATGGTCCTGCCCAGTGGGCATGCCAGAGTCGGGAGCCCTCGCCTGTGCTCTCTGCTCCACGCAAGGTGTGGCAAGGACTCTGGAAACCACGCGTGTCAGCAGCCGGGCGTGGTGAAAAGATGATTAATTTGTTCCTGCAACTGATGCAGTTAATTATGGCTTATGAGACCTGTGTTGTGACTAAAAGGCAGAGATAATTAAGCCTAATTACCATCGTAATGATCAATTAGCTCTCCCAGCACAGAGCCCTGCGAGGAGCAGCAGCGAATGCCTGGCTCTCCTGGAAGGGGACGGGGCCGAGTTCGTACGCCGTGATTCTGCATGACCGCTCACGTAGACAGGTCATTCCTGTCCCTGAAAACACATCTTCCCTTCCTGTCCACTCTGCAGAGTACATGAAGACCAGCAAATGCTTTTCTACTGAACGTTTAAAAATTACAGAATAGCCATGGAGGAGGGGTCCAGCATTGTGGCACTGTGGGTTAAACCACTGCTTGGGACACCAGGTCAGGTCACGGCTGTTCCTCTTACAATCCAGCTCCCTGCTAACAGCCTGGGAAAGTAGCAGAGACCGGACCCCTTCTACCCACATGGGAGGCAGAAATGAAGCTCCCAGCCTTGGCCTGACTCAACCCTGGCCAATGCAGCCATCTGGGGAGTGGACCAGTGCGTTAATGATCTCTCTCCCTGTCCTCTCTCCCTTTCTTGCCAATAAACACACCTTGGGAGGAGGGAGAGAGAAAGAGGAAGCTGGCAGTCCCCACTGCTCAGGCGTCATAGTCACCAGCCTGCTGCCCCGCACGGGCACCTCGGCAGCCTCCCGGTGGTTGTGTGGTCCCAGTCTTTCTCCAGCCCACGCTGCTGGGCAGAGCTGCAACGGCCTCTGTTTCCAGGCTCCCCTCGGCCTGCCTGCTGCATCTGTCTCCCTCACACCACAGTGCACCGCGGTGGCACCACCCTTCTGTGCCATCTTCATCCGCCTGGAGACCATGTCAAGGTCAGGCATCCAAGAGCCGACAGTGAACCAAAGGCCTAGCAGGCAGTGAGGTCAGGGGATGGACATGCTTCCGCCATGCCTGTGTGGTTCCCTGTGATCTCAGGTGGGGACATGCTGTGAGACACAGCACTGTAGGTCCTGGCTGTCCAGGGAATGACAGTGTCCTTGGCACACAGCAGGGTGGCACAGTGACTGCACAGCAGGCAGGGTGCTCCTGTGGGCATGAGCACCCGTGCTGCACAGGGATATTTTGCTCCACTGCACGTCAGATGCCAACCAACGCAGCACGGAGTAGGGCGCGACTAGAATTAAGGGCATCAGGGACAAAGGCCATCCATTGTGATCCCTATGAACCTGGAGAGATGGGCTGACACTGCAGCCCGTATGCGCAGGGAGGGGGCGGGTGCCTCTCAGGCCTGAGTGCAGCAGAATAAGCCTCACAGCTCACACTCAGCCCTGCCCATCACGTCCAGCTGTGCACACAGCATGGGCTCCTCCACACCCACCCTTGCCTGCAGCATGGGACTGGACACACCTCGGAGGGAGAGGCCACAGGAAGGTGATCCCACGGGGGGCGTCCGCAAGCCGGTCCTCAGACGCTGCTTCCCCCAGACACTCCTTCTCAGAGGAACAACTGAGTCTGGGGCTAGGACAGGCAAGTGCGGTGTTGACCCCATGCCAGAGAAACAGACATGAATCTGACCACAGGACCACGTGACCCTCGCAATATAAAAAATACAGAAAGAATCCTTATGTCATCTTCCACAAATAAAAATGGAAACCCCTCTTACAGGCTGTGAAAGCAACCCTGTCACACGCGGTCACTAACTGCGAAGGATCCGTGCTTAAATTTATTAGTTTTGGTTTTTAGAGGAAACAAGAACCGAGCAAACACAAGCTAATTCCAGGGAACCAAGCCACGCCACCAGCGATGCTGTAAACCAGTGTGGCACAGCCAGGAAGACATGCTGCCGCGTGGGCCTCCCACCCACACCACAGCCAAGTGCTGCCCCAGACCAATACGGCCTCTACTCGGCAGCCAAAACCACACACTGACTCGCTACCACCTGTCGGAAAGGGAAAACACCTGTCTCGCAGGTGTCTCCGCAGGGTTCCACCAGCCAACCAGGGGGCGAGGGCGCACGGGGACCAACCAGGCAAGGGGCGAGGGCACACGGGGACCAACCAGAGGACGAGGGCACACGGGAACCAACCAGGGGGCGAGGGCACACGGGAACCAACCAGAGGACGAGGGCACACGGGAACCAACCAGGGGACGAGGGCACACGGGAACCAACCAGGGGGCGAGGGCACACGGGAACCAACCAGAGGACGAGGGCACACGGGAACCAACCAGAGGACGAGGGCACACGGGAACCAACCAGAGGACGAGGGCACACGGGAACCAACCAGAGGACGAGGGCACACGGGAACCAACCAGGGGGCGAGGGCACACGGGAACCAACCAGGGGACGAGGGCACACGGGAACCAACCAGGGGACGAGGGCACACGGGAACCAACCAGGGGACGAGGGCACACGGGAACCAACCAGAGGACGAGGGCACACGGGAACCAACCAGGGGGCGAGGGCACACGGGAGTAGGAGAGAGAGAGAGAAGTGATTGGAGTGACATGGAAAAATGCTAACCCTTAGTACATCGAAGTGAGAAGCTACTCCCAAGTTCTTCTTGTTATTCCTACAACTTTTCTGTAAACTTGAAATTAAATCAAAACAAAAAGTGATTAAAAAAAAAACCCTAAAGTTCATTAATGTGGGTTGAATGAGCAGTTGTTGACTAAAAGTCAAAAGAATGGGACAGGCTTTGAGCCTACAAAGTCACAGCAAGTTCTCCAAGTTCACCAATATGGGATGCTGGCACCACAGGCTGAGGATTAGCCGGCTATACTACCACACAGCCCTGCGGACTCTACTGTTTTAATATTTTAGGGGAGAAATGTGTTCGTTACGTGCTGTAATGGCAGCCAAGTAAAATCAAAGGAGACTTTTAACAAAGAAGAAAATCACCAATGGGACAGCAGCAAACAGAGGCTAAGCCTTGGAGAGCGGAATCGCTCGCCTAACACAAAGGACGGTGAGGCCGAGGAGCAGGGACACACAGGCAGGGGACTGATGTCGGGGCTGCCAGCCCAGGCGCTGCATGAAGCGGGACCTGAGGTCCACTGCTACGTCAGCTGAAGAGTCCGAGAACTCCAGAGGGTCTGGCAGCTGACTGAGCACGTTCAAGGACCTTGGGAGCGAAGAAAGGGCTCACCCACAGGGACAGGAGCTTTGGGTACAAGACTGGGAGAGTTAGCGCTGTGACTTGCACACCTGGCTTTCCACCCAGAACGGGCCGCTTCCACGGGTAGTGAGTCCCTGGCATTGTAACTATTTAAGCACGGATTGGGGTATTAACAATCACACTGTGTGTCTGCTAAGTCAGCTGCCACCTCTTGTCCATGCTCAATCTGGATGTTTTCTTAATGTAAGAAGAAAGTATGGAACTTTCCAGAAGGCTGCCCGTGGACCAACAATCTGATGCCGATCTCCACGTTGTTCTTACTGATGGGGCCAGCGTTGCGGCCCACAGGTTAGGCTGTGCCTGTGACACCAGCATCTCACGCTTGCCCCAGCTGAAACGCCAGCCACTCTGCGCCTAACACACCTGCTAACGCACAGGGGGCTTGGATCCCCGACACGTGCGGGAGACCTGGATAGTTCCAGGCTCCTGGCCTTGGCCTGGCCCAGTCCTGGCTGCTGAAGCCATTTGTGGAGTGAAGCCAGCAGATGGAAGACCTCACTCGGTATGATTCTGCCTGTCAAATAAATAAACCTTCCACAAGAGTTTTCTAAACTGTTTCGCACAGTGATGCACTATTTTAAAATAATTAACTCACCTTGTGAACACTTCAATCACACCGCTGTTTTCCCTGCGTCTCACCTGCTCTCACCGCCGTCCTCAGGTCTCCTTTACAACGTGCATCCTCTGTTTCTATCCCATACAGTCATGTGTCTATTCTGTCAGTTTCCTTTTTAGCTCAAGGCTGTGAGCTCTATCGATAT